ATGATAATTAAAAAAACCAGAAAGCAAGACCACCCTGGTCAAAACTGGGACCAGGAGCTTTTCCCAAAGGCCACCCTCCTTGTCCAGGCAGCCTCAGCCCCACAGGCACCACAGAGAACCCAGGCTCCTGGGGAGTTGGGAAGAGCTCGACTCATTTAATCTTCACTATTTGATGAGGTTTATCTTTTTTTTTTTTTTTTTTTGGCTGAGGAAGATTGGCCCTGAGCTAACATCGGTGCCTGCCCTCCTCTATTTTGTATGTGGAACGCCTCCACAGCATGGCTTGATGAGTGGCATGTAGGTCCATGCCCGGGATCTGAACCTGCGAACCCCAGGCTGCTGAAGTAGAGCTTGCAAACTTAACCACTATGCCACTGGACCGGCCCCATCATTAACGTCATTTTACAATTGAGGGAACCCCAGCTGGGAAGGAGTAAAGGATTTGTCCAAAGTCGTAGAGCTAGCAAGTTCAAAAGCAGGAGTTCAAGCTTGGATCTGTCAGCTCCGAGCCCACTCCTTTCCATGGCATCACCCGCCTCCACCGCTGCGGACTTCCAGGCTGCTAATATCTGGAGACATACCTGGATCTTTCCATCGACGCTGACTCAACCTGGCGACATTGTGTCCTCTGCCAGCACTGCTCTCAGTTCTACAGAACCTCAGAGGCCCCATCCTAGAGCTTTCTGAACAGTGCTGTTGACCAGAGAGACCAAAGAGTAAGAGTAACAATGAAATAGCTAACAACATGGTACCCACACGTGCTCGGCTGTGTGCTGAGCGTTTTGAGCAGACCGTCCCGTGTCTTTCTCACGACAGAGCAATGAGGCAGACGCTGTTATTTTATTAGCTCAGCATTTTGCCGTTGAGAAAACCGAGCAGTGCAGAGATTAGGTAAGAGGTGGAGAAGGTAGCCATTGCGTGGTGGAGACAACAGCGAAGGGTGTCTTTTTACCTCTTGACACATTGGTCCCTGCTGATAATGAACCTGACCCCTTGGCGTTCCAGACCTTTCCAAGCCCATGGACCATCTCACAGGAGCTGGGCTCCCTGCCCTGTCCCTAGATGAGCCTTCTCTTTGATAGACTAACTCCTGCTCAGCAGTCGCTGAGTGCGTGTTATCCATGCTGGAAAAGATGAGGATTCTCCAGGGAGAGATGATGCTCCTACGTGATGGACGAGTGATGGTGGTGATGTCGGGCTGCCCGAGGGGTGATGGTCCGGCTGTGTGGGCTCCACAGGCCTTCTCCACGGAAGCATCATCTTGACATCTATGGAAATCTTTTAAAATGTTAACCTTGGTTGAGTTTAAACTCTGACCTGTTGGAGGTCAAGGATGATTTTGGCGCCTGCTCTCTAACAGGGAGCAGGGTGATGTCCTTTAAAGTCATAAACGAGCATCCCTGCTTCCACCTTGCAAACCCAGCCGGGTTAGCAGATCTACGTCAGAGACCACATCCTAACTTCAGCAAGTCCATGGTGCCCTGTCTGATCTGAAAGGTACCTGGGGACCGAGTCGGAGCTCTCCTGGAGCACAGGGCTCTCCTGAGGGTGCCATAATTAGTCTGGCATTGCTCATTGATTCCATAATGTATTTTGTATATAGGACTATATTTGCTTCTTGGGTATTTTTTACTGTGGCCAGCCTGTAAAAAGACTGTATTTGTCCCATACCAGAGTAAAATCTGCAGGGTAATGCTGGGTTTTAAGTTCTTACAAAGGTCAACAGAGTATTCTATATCAATATATGCAACTGGAGATTATTAACTATTTTCAAAGATGATGGTGATGGTTCCTGAATTTCATGGTGATGGGTTCCGGCCTCCAGTGAATGCATTGTGGGGTGCCTTGTTACCACCTCTAGCCTGGAGTTTATCTGTTTCCTCAGGAATGGAAATAGCCTGGCCTGGGTAACCTGTTGACAGGTATTCACTCAGGACTAGTGGGTGCTTTTCACTGTTGCAAATTCGAGGAGACCGTGACCTCACGCTTGCCCTAAAGGCCCTACAACCTGGTTGGAAACGATTCTGGAACAAGATTAGACCGTATGTAACATGGCATCAAACTACTTATAACAAAGACCCTCCCATGGCCCTGTCTTTCTCTACCCCTTTATAAGTGGCAGATAAACAGAGAGAACGTATGCTTGTTAAAAATCTGGAACACCCAAAGTTGGAAGTGAGGCATGGAAGGCTAATATACTAAACAACAGGAATAGTGATTTCGGTAAATAAGAACTTTGTGCTGAAATCAACCAGTTGAAATTAATAGGAATAAATAGAAAGTCCTGCATTTAGTTTCAAAACTTCATTGGCATAAGTACAGGATGGGAGAGAGTTGTAATTTTCACATTCAAAAAAATCCTATGGACTTTTTCATTAACCTAAACCTTCACTCAATATCCTAAAAGGCTTGCTGAGCAGCAGGCACTGCGTAGTCACTGTGGGATCTTACCACTGACGCAGCTACAAATGCAGCCTTGTTGGCACGCAACATGCAGCTCACGGGAGAAACATTCCCAACGAGCAGATCTCCTCGGGAGTAGACTCAACACTCTGAGAAGGTCATAGGTGATCAAATGACCTAGAGAAGACGGAGACTAGACTGGTGAGTGACAGGGGAACCAGGCTGCCCAGAAATGTGGAGTGGCCACAGGATGTTTAGTCTAGAGAAGAAAAGATCATGGGACTTTGATGGTTGTTTTCCAGGATTTACAGAGCTATTGTGTGACTACAAGAGGAGCCGTAAGACTTTTTTGGGTCATTTCAGTTTGACCAGTGGGGTGACAGTTGGAGAGGGGCAGGTTCATTTTGATGCCTTAGAGGTGTTTCTGCCGACCCCGGGGAAGGCTGCCTCTTAGGCACCTCACCCACGAGCGTTCCGGCAGAGGCTAGATGACCATTGTCCTTTGGCTGCTCCCTTCTAGAAAGACCACGTCGTGCTGGTGATTGGAGTGGAAGATCTCTGAGGACCCTTCTGATGACAATTCTCTATTTTTATTTTCCAAAATTAAATGGAAAGTAACATGACTTTCCATATACCTTTCTTGAGCCTTCAGACCTGCAAGAATTTTGCTAGCCTACAGCCAATGAGTCTCTTTCCCCTCCTCCCCACCTTTGCCGGCTCAAACAACCTTGAGTTAGTTAATAGAATGTCACGGTAAAGACACTCCACACATTAAAATTCACTGCTCAGCCGTTTGGGGTAAAATGGTTCTTAAAACCCAGACTGTATCTCCATTTGCTCACCAGTTGGACCTACAAATACCAGAGCTCACCAGAAGAGACAAGAGGGAGAAAATCTTGCCTCAAAGTGAGGGAAAGGGTGAGAGGAAGGTCACGGAGCAGAGCCCACGGATGGAGCCCAGACAAGGCTCCACACGCCGTCTGCAGCCCAAGGGGATCGGACGGTCCCTTGAGCTGCATGAATGCCAGAGGAAGGGAGGTGCCTCCCAGCTCCTTGGAGCTGCCCTAATATTTACGGCCGCTGTATCTCCCAAGTTCACGGTCAAGGCCAGCATCTTCTGGACACCTGCTGTATTTTAGGTGTGTCCAGATGTCATCGTCCAGCTAAGAAGAGGAAGAGTTGCCACACCCTCAGCTGGCCGTTTCTGTTGTCATCTTGTGACCAAGGAGCACGTTGGCCAGACAGTCGCCTTCAGAGCAACAAAATGTACAGTTCTGGGGGAAAAAAAAACAGTGAAAAATTTCTGCCAATTAGTTGCTGTCACCAAAAACTTCATATTTACCACTTTATTTCTTGCCAAACACATCATTTTGGCATCCCATTGACTGCTTGGTTTAGTTTAAGAGGATGAAGTCTTACTGCTTTAATATCTTGCAAGCTTATGTTTATAGAGATTGACAAATACAGATACAAGCCCAGTTTTAGTTATTACCACTAACCAGAAATTGTGTCACAATGAGGCAATACATCTTGTTTTTAAGTCGAAGTGCTTACATGGTCTAAAAATAATTATTTTGAATAGTAACAACAGCCACTAGGAAGGCTGGCTAAAACAATTTCAAAATTAGTTGTATAATTGCAGAGTTATGGAGATTTTATAGGACTTCCAACAATTACTGACAGTGATGCTGTTATTCAATGAGCAGGAAAAATAAATAACATTTGGACTAGTATCTAGAGGCTTTGCCCAGTAAAAGAACCATTACTGTAAAGAGCAAAATCTGATACAGCCATTTTATCTCTGGAAGGGTAACGAAGAGCATCACGTTTCTCACGACGGCAGCTGCCTTGTACTAACCCAGTAACAAAAGGTGTGCTGAGTAACTGTGATGATAATGACGAGAACAAGGGGAAAACCAGAGCCGATTCCCTTTTTCCAGCTCATTTGAGGGCCCACCCGCTATTGTGTGGCCAAGGGCAAGTCTGTTTCCCTGCAGCGCAGTCACACAGACCGCTCCCGGGTGGTGAGCTTTTTCCTTGTAGAAAGAGTGACATTTCACAGTTGAGGGTTTTTTTGGTAAACCTACTTCCATCGATTTTAATCCAGTTGCACAAGCCACTTTAACATAAGATGCATGATAAGGCACCTGAGAAGTCGTACGAACCCTCCAGACACGTGAATTCGTTTGACCTCACGACAACCCTGTGAAGTAGGTTCTGTCGTTACCCGACTTGAACAGTGGAGGACACCAAGGGGCTTGCCCATGATCACACAGCTCACAAATGGCTGGGGAGGGGTCTGAACTCGCAAAGCCTGGCTGGCCCCAAAGTCCAGGTACTTCACCATCGGCTGTGCGGCCCCCCAGGAAGGCATGCAGGTGAACCTGAGCAAATGCTAGTGTGCACCAGCACCGTGTTAAGCCCTTGCATCCGGCAGTGCATCCACCCACCAGCCGGGTCATTTGGACGGAGGTAAGAATCCCCAGGCCCGCTGCTGTGTGTCTCGGGCATGACAGCCTAGCCTGGCTGTGGTCGCTATGCCGCTTTGCTTGCAGGATGTCAGCAGTAAGACGTTCTTGTGTGGTCTCTTCCTGCAGGGGTGGCATGGTCCAAACCAGCGAGCAGTACGAGTTCGTGCACCACGCTCTGTGTCTGTACGAGAGCCGACTTGCGGCAGAAACCGTCCAGTGATTCTCTGCAGACTCACCAGACCCCCGATCTCCAGGGGGGAGTAGTCAGCATGCACTCGAGGCTTCTAGAAGGAGCTTCCTGGAATGGAAGGAAGGAGAAGCCCCGAAGCCACGCTGCGGTGTGGACTGTGGAAGACGGCCGCCTGTTAGCGACGGCAGCCTCGTGCACGTGAACGCGTCTGTAAGCATCCCGGCACTGCGATGAAGGCCCCCAGCTGAGGGGGTAGGACAGGCTTCTCACGCAGCCAGGGAGGACTTGTTTTGTGTCTTGACACCTGCCACACGGAATGTGAGTATGAAATGCTCAGTGACATGTGTCATCCAGTGACGCCTGGAAGAGCTGCTGGAGAGAGGATTCCTGTGTGTCTAGACGCTTTCGTGTTTGCAGGTCTGCCCGTGATGCACGTCAGCTGGTGAAATGCCTGGCTCAAGTGCTGTCACCGTTCTCAGTTACCAGAATCTTGCCGCTAAAGTTGCAAGCGATTGATGGCAGATTTTTAACAAATAAGTCCTTGTTTTTGAAAAAAAAAATCAAAAGCTGTAACTATTTTACATGGAAATGTGTCTTGATAACATGCCCTATTGCAAGTGTATTGATCAGTACCTCCTATCAATCAATCAAGAGCACAATGATTGTCACTGGGTGTCTATGTACTTACTCTCTATTCTTGGGCATCAAGGCGGCTTCTGCCCCAGAATCTGTCCACTGTGTTCCTACATTGTGAGTTATTTCACTTTAAAAGGGAAAAACAAATTTGTAGCAACTACGATGTATCAAGAATTTTAAATACTTGTCTCTTTTACTAAGAAGGAATTTTTGAATATGCTGTCTACTGGGAATCTCTCTCCCAACCAAAGGCACGTGCCTTTGGGAATGATGGAACCTGTCCCATTTTGAAAGGTTCTGCAAAAGGATGCTGCCATGCATATCCTTAAATTTCTGAAAGGTTTAAATCCTCAAGAGACAAAATAAAGTTTAAAAAACTACACTCAGCAACACTAGACGTTCTGCTCAAATATGAGTTTTTATTGCAGCTGTGTTGACTTTGTTTCATACTGCCAATAAACTCTTAATACTAAATATTGAGTAAAGCATCTACTTTTTCTCCTATTTGGAGAGAGGCCATTGTCTTTTGGGGGAAGCCTGAAGTAGATAAGGTGAAGGGTTTAATTTTAGTCTCTGCCTCTCCCCAGTGGAGATGACTATCTGAAAACATAATATTGTCACTCCGAGATAATGACCTAGAAGCTCCATCATCCTGTGGTTTCCCCGCAGACTCCTGGCGTATCGTCACACCAACGTGCACGTCTGTGTCACTTGCCATAGACCCTCATGAGCTACACAGTCTGTGTGTATTCAGCAGAATCACGTCACCTGAAGGGAGGTAACTCTGTAGAAACCCTCAGTTCTCGAAGATCATGATTCCTTTCTTCCCTCTTGAGGTTCAGAAGCAGTCATGTGCCAAAGGAATGGTAGGACAAAAGTTGTGAGCTTTGTCCCGCTCCTGGAGGCTGGGATTTTTCCTTCATAAAACAAGAGAGGGAATCAGGATCCCTTCTTTCTAAGGAAACAGACAAAAGGACAGTGGTGTAAACCTCCCCCCACAATTGAATAGGAGGAAGCGCTCGTCACCAACTCCCCACCATGAAGGGTTTCCTTCCTCCCCTTTACTTCTCTTATCTGGGAAAATTTTTTTTTCCCCCAAGCGAAGCAGGAACAGTTGTTAAGTGGAAAATGGAGGCTGGATTTTGTGTGGCGATTCTCACCTGCCTGCTCTTCAGGGTCTCAGGTGAGTGGGGGCCTCAGCGCCCTGTCTTTCTCCCGTCCCCAGTGGAGGAGCCCTGCCCTTGGGAAAGAGTCTGGAAGAAGGCGGAAACGGAGCCAGGTCTCCGTGGCAGTTTAGTCAAAGACGACGAGCAGGGGGAGCGCCAGGAGCCAGCTCTGCCCGCACTCAGGCCCCCAGATGCCCGGCAGCTCCTGAAATGGCATCTTGACAGCAGAGCGGAGGGCCAAGGGGACATTTTTATTATTATGTGCTGTTATCCGAGCAGTCTGTGACATGCTCCAGGCTGTTCCCCAACCACGTTATAGTTTTGTTTTCTTTTGTCTTAAAGAAAGAAAATACAAGAAATAAAATTACAGGGGTGAAGAACTGGGGTGTGTTTTATTTGGGAGTCATTATTTGGAGGGAAAGTCTGAATATTTTCATGGGAGAGCTGGGCAAATTAAGTAAAACTCAGAAAATAGTTTCAGAACCTGAAATCTCACTTTTTAACGCTGATGTTTAGCAACTGGATGTTTAATATTCTTACCTCGAGAAATGCTGTTTTTTTAATCTATTAATATTTGAGAGAAAACTGTAGATATTGTCACAAAATAGAGAAATATTTCTCTCCAGGACTATAAGAAATTTAGTTTGTGATAATCAATATTCTGATTGGTTGCTATTAGCTAGCTAGGAGGGAGGGCTTAGAAGGGAAAATGAGTTTTATTTTTGGATAAATATATCCAGTTTTTAAATTTTTATTCAAACTATTCCATTTGTATACAAATACTTGTTGCAATAGTAACTTGAGTGAGGAAAGGGGTGCTTTTTCTAGTGGGGGACAGAGGTAAGATGGGAAAAATAAAGTCAAAACTGGGTTTTTCATAACTTCAGCCTATTTAACTAATGAGGCTAAAATATCACACCATATTTTTTGGATGGTTTCATTTCTTTTTCAACCTTCATTATTTCAATGGGGATGTGTTTTCCCCCCTAAACCATGTGAAAGTAAGAAAAAGGGAACTTTTATGTGTGACCTTTGGGCATTTTTACATTGTCTGCCATGGGATTTTAAATCATCTGTGCTGGGTCTGAAATATTCGCTTGAAATGACAGCAATGGCAAAAAATGAGTAAACCTCGTATTTTCCTTGGCTGATTTGTGGGTGGGCTGTTTTATTTTCTGGGGACCTTGCGACTCACCACATGGTGCTTCACGAGCTTTCCCTCTTCCAGAGAGCTTTCAGATTGTCCACGTCCAGAAACAGCAGTGCCTTTTCGAAAATAAGATAGTTGCTGTGGGCTTCTGCAATGGGACCAGCCAGAACCAGCAGTGGATGTGGACCGAGGATGGGAAGCTCCTTCATGTTAGATCTGCAAGGTGCCTGGGCATCTCCAACTCCACAGGTGGCCCTTCCCAGCCAGCTGTCTTTGCCCACTGCTCCCAAGCACCCCGATGGACCTGCCATGAGAAGGAAGGCTTCCTCCAGGTGGAAAACACCTCTCTCTTTCTCAAGAAAGAAGGCTTCAAGGTAGTGGTCAGGAGGGGCAGGAAATACCTCCATAGCTGGATGAAAATAGATGTCAACAAAGAGGGAAAACCAGTCAATGAAAGCCTCTGCTTAAAAAAAGGTGAGCTATTCCTTTCAGAGTCAGTTCTGAAAGTTCTGCTAAATGTCTTGTTTTTCACATTCAAAGGAAGTCCACATGCCCCAACAGATTCCTATGGAAGCTTCATAAGCTAATGGAAATGGAGTGTGTGCCACCCATCGACTTGGAAAACTCCATTATTCTCATTATAATAAGCCCAACTTTTCTCTTTCTGGATCTCACTCTTCCTTCCCTTCTCTTCTTGCTTCTTTTGTTAATTCAACAAATATTTCTTGAGTTTCTCTTTTGTGCCGGACACAAGGCGCTTTGGTTAAGTACTATCAGATGTAGAAACACGGCCTGAGGCGCAAACATGGCGCATGTGTGAAGGACTAAGGCCAATGACGAGGACGTTAATAATTTTGCTGATGTAGACATTTCCATTCTCTGATTATGAGGAGCGATGAGAACATCAAAATCGTGCTTGAGAAGACTAGAAAGATAATAAACAGTGCTTTTGCAAATCTCTATGCTAGTGTTTACAGGTAGATACCTTTTGGAGGTGACATACTTTTGAAATGGTAAGAACCAATGTGCAGCCACAGAGTTTTCTGATTTGTTGACCAGGATGGATGTGACCCAGATGATAGACACGTGTAGACCTCGTACACAAGTGCGCAGATTCCTGGTGCGCCACACAGTTCAGAACTGCACTTGGAATTTTTATTTGTAGATACAGCTTAGTTTTCTATTTTACTTAGTCATTTTATTGCTTATTGACTCTTCTATTAGAGGTTTGCTTAAGGAAGTCGTGAAAAATAAAACTAATAGAACATTACATATCAGATACAAACAGACCTTATAAATCCCTGGAGAAATTATCTAGAAGTGAAGCCCTTCATTAAGGAGACTGCAGTCTGTCCAGATTAAGTGACTTGTGCCAGATAATGTAGTGGCAGAGCTGTGGTTAGAACCCAGCTTCTCAGCCCTTTGTCCAGGGCACGTTCCACTACACAGTGTTTCCCGAGTGCTGGTCCAGAGCCTTCTGCCCAGCTGGCCATGGACAAACACGTAGCACAGGGAGGGAATCGTTCCCATCATTGCTGCCCGACTACCACCTCCAAGATCCTGTTTCAAGAAATCTGGATTCGGGCATAAAACTTGATGTTTCTTAAAAAGATCCCCAGTTAATTTTGATCCATGATCCCAACTGGGGATCAGCATCCACTGTACCTTTATATGTTTCTCATCAGGTGTCGATTTTTGAGGCTTATTTGAGTCCACCACGCTGATCTTCGGACAGTTTTCCGTCACTCACTCATTTCATAAGTTAAGCATTTAATTCTATGCAAATGAATGCAACGGGTTCTTCTACAACAGAAATTGAGCATTATAGTCCCTGTTCTTATAAAAGACTATGAGAATAAGATAAAACAAAAGTCAATTAGAAAATTCAACTTTATCAGAGAACATACAGCACATGGTGCCAATTTGTACAATCCCCTTCCTGCTCTAGCAAGGCCCGTCCTACACACACAGAAACGCTGTTCACACTCCCATTGCACCACAATACACAAGAAGCGAGGTTCCCCCCAACTCCCAGTCAAACCTTAGAAGAATATTCTTTCATTGGAACTTTAAAGAAGTAGATATGGATTCAGTGGAGAGTTATTCAAGATAGAAGACAATTCATGGAAAAAGTGCCTCCTTTGACCTTCCTACATAACGTGTCCGATAACGGACTTCATTCACTCCAAAGGTAAAGTGGATGGAATAGACACT